CCTTCCTTCCAGCTTTACTCAAATGTGGACTTCTCAGTGACCACCTGGCTGAAGCCCTCTCCCCCGCCATTCCCATCTCCCTCTCTCCCAGCCATACCATTTATCACCTTCTAACATATATTTTCAATCCTTCATATGCATGCGAAAGCTGGACAACGAATAAGGAAGACCGAAGAAGAATCAACACCTTTGAATTGTGGTGTTGTTGAAGAATATTGAATATACCATGGACTGCCAAAAGAACGAAGAAATGTGTCTTGGAAGAAGTACAGCCAGAATGCTCCTTAGAAGCAAGGATGGCGAGACTTTGTCTCACATACTTTGGACATGTTATCAGGAGGGAGGGATCAATCCCTGGGGAAGGACATCATGCTTGGTAAAGTACAGGGTCAGCGAAAACAAGAAAGACCCTCAACGGGATGGATTGACACAGTGGCTGCAACAATGGGATCAGGCATAACAGCCATTGTGAGGATGGTGCAGGACCGGGCAGTGTTTCATTCTGTTGTACATAGGGTCACATGAGTCGGAACCCACTTGACCGCACATAACAACAACAACATACATTTATTTGTGTGTTGGGTTGTCTTTCTCTCTCCACTGAGTAGAGGCCACTTGAGAGCAGGAGTTTCTATCCTGTACTCTGTTTCCTGTGCTTAGAAAAGTGCATGCAACAGGCATGAAATGAATGAATGACTGAGCTCCAGCGTTCCCAGCTCTGGGGATCCCTGTGACTTCAAACCTAACTAGCTGGGTGGTCCCTTTCAGAAGTGGTGGTTGGAGGGAAGAAATTTCCCAACAAACAGTTATTTTAAGAGTTTGAATGGTAAGCAGTGTCACCTTCCTCCATTCGTATCTGCCACCACTCCCCGCCCCCATACACATTTACCTACTGATAGGTGGCCACCTCTAACGTAGGGATGGCGAAGATTATACCAACTTTGGGTTTGAAAGAGTCCTGAGAGCATCTCATACAGCCCCTCATTTTGAGGAAACTGAGGCCCAGAGTAGGGTAGAGCTCCCACCCCCAGATCTCCTGTCTTCCAGCGGATACCCCATATCCTCTTTGGGTCCCTATACCCTTCCCCTGCCCAGCCCTCCCCTTGCTCTCAAAGGGCCCCTGGTCACTCCACATCCCTCATCCCCCACTGGGCTCTCCCTCTGGACCTGCGGTGCTTCATTCCCTCTGCCAAGTGCAAGCCTGGAGAGGCTCCATACCTAACAGCATGGAGGAGGGCTGTTCCACATTTTACCCCCTTTTGATCAGGATCCAGCTCTTGAGTCCTTGATCAAAATGTTCAGTAATGGTAGGCAGGCACCATCCATTTCTTCTGGTCTCATGGTAGCAGAGGTAGTAGTTTATGGAGGCAATTAAACTTCTAGTCCATTTCCTTTTCCTATTTCTGAGTCTCCTTCTTTTCTGCTGTTCCAGGCAAATAGAGACCAATTGTGGTATCTTGGGTGGCTGCTTGCAAGCTTTTAAGACCCTAGGTGCTACTCACCAAACTAGGAGGTAGAATAGAAACTCTAAAAACAGTGTTAGGCCAATTGACTGGATAGACCCACGAAGCTATAACCCTAAACCTCTGAACCAAGAAAACTAATCTTATGAAGTTTTTAGTTGTACCTAAGTAGTATCAATAGGAAGGGGCCCTGGTGGCTCAGTGCTTAAACACTTGGCTGCTAACAGAAATGTCAACAGTTGGAACTCACCAGGTGCTCCTTGGGAGACAGATGGGTAGCCTGCTTCTGTAAAGATTTACAACCTTGGAAACCCTATGGGGTTGTTCTACTCTGTCCTACAGGATTGCTGTGAGTCAGAATCAACTTGACAGCAGTGAGTAGTATCAACAGGCACAGCCACTCCCTTTTTTGGCTGCTGGTGTAGTTGTAAATTATATAAAACACTTTATTTGCCATTTTTCACCCCCCCTTTTTTTTCCTGTTGTACAGCTTAATAGTAATAGCTACGTTAGTCTGGTGAGGAGGATAGCCAATCGCAGCTCCTCTCCAGTGCCGTGGGCAGATGAGGGGCACAGGGAACCTCAGCACGTCAGGGTTGGAAGGGCCTTCAGTGGCCTCTCACCCCCCCCCAATCACATTATAAACCCCTTGCTGTCGAGTTGATTCCGACTCACAGTGACTCGATAGGACAGAGCAGAACTGCCCCACAGGGTCTCTAAGGCTGCGGTCTTTACGGAAGCAGACTGCCACATCTTTCTCCTGTGGAGCGGCTGGTGGGTCCGAACTGCTGACCTTTTGGTTAGCAGCCGAGTGCTTAACCACCACGCCACCAGCTCGAGAGACAGGGAAGGACTTGCACCAAGTCACACAGCAAGTCAGCATTGAAGCCCAGACCAGAGACCCAGGCCTCCTGACGCCCAGCTCCAGGCTGCTGTTTGGTTTCTCAGCCCTTGAGAACTTTCCAATCATTCCTGACTTTGTGGGGAGGGTGACTGAAGGAAGATTCATTAAAGAGTTCTACAGAGAACGTAATCAATGTTGCTGAATTGTATGTGGAGAAATTGTTGGTATGTTCAACAGAAAAATTATTTAAAAAAAATACAGTCCTACAGAGCTTGTGGTTCCCTCTCCCTCTGGCCTTGATGCAAAACCCCAAGGCCACAGGGCCCTACAGACCCACAGGGGTCAGGGGAAGGAACGTGACCGTGGGAATATCCACAACTCTCCCCTCCTTTGCGTTCCAGACAGGAGCACTGGGATTGATCTCCTGTTCTAGGTAATGGGTGCTTAATGGTAACAGGGTACAGGTGGAGAAGCTGGGAGGCTGTGCTGATTTACATTGGGGAAAAAGAGTGAGGAAGAAGTAAGGAAGAGAATAGCTGGTGCTGTGGGTTTTTTGTTTTGTTGATGGAAAGAGAGGAGAGACAGCTCTTGCACCAGGACGAGAAGAACTGGGCGGAAGTTGGGTTGGCCTGCTTCTTTTACCCCAGCACTGTGCTAAGAGCAACTCAAAGGCAGCTCCGCTGCATTTGGATTGCATATTCACTACCACCTATTTCCTGATCATCCACTGAGGCCCTGTGTGAGAGACAGGACAACAGCAATGAACAAAACTGACAAGGTACCTGCCCTCGTGGAGCTCACGTACTAGTAAGACAGATGTTAAATAAGTAAACACATGTACAAAATAACGTTGATTTGCAATAACTGCTAAGAAAAAAAACAAAGCAAGGGCTGAACTACAGGGATGGCCAGGGAAGCCCTGAGGAGGGGCACCTGAGCCCAGCCAGGAGGAAGAGAAGGAGCCAGGCTGTGAGAAGTGGGGGAGAACATTCTAAGTGGTGGGAACGTGTGCCAAAATCCTGAGCGGAAATTCAGGGAACCAACAGGGCCAGTGTGGCAACGCACGGTGATTGAGGGGAGAAAGGCAGGAGACAGGTGGAGAGATGGTGGGGCCACCTCCTGCAGGTTCGGGTAAGGAGTTTGGATCTTATACTAAGTATAGCAGTTGGCAACCACTGGAGGATCTATGTAGGGAGTGGCATGATGCAGCCGACATTTTAGGAAGGTCACTTTTGCTGCCGTATGGAGGGTGGTTTGGAGGGGACATGGTGGAGGCAGGAGACCACTCAGACAGCTTTAAGTCTTCCAGGGAGAGAGGGATTGTGGCCTGAGCCTGGGTGGTGGCAGTGTCGACAGAAGGGGGGGCAAATCTGCCATCTGTTTGGGAGGTAGGACTGTCAAGACTTGCTGCAGGATTGGACCATCAGGGGTGAGGGAGAGGGTGGTGTCCAGGGTGACTCCGTTTACTGGCCTGTATGCCCAGGTGGAGGTGGTGTCTTTGACACTGATCCCCTGGAAGGAGAAAGGGAACTAGACTCTCTTCCCTCATTGCTCTAGGGAGGGAATGAGGGCTGGTGAGGCAGGGGAGCTGAGGGCAAGGGGAGTGGAGTACAGAAGTGCAGAGCCAGGAGACAGACAGCCTCCTCCCTCCAGACAGGGCCGAGGGGCAGGCGCTGGCTGACCCTAAAGGGAAGCAGAAGACCCTTCACAGAACCGCCAGACCTCGGTGCTGTGGATAACTAGAGGTCAGGAGTCCCAACGTGGCCTCCCTTCCACTCCATACATGTGGGGACTGTGGCCCAGAGCAAGGGGAGGGCCGCCGGCTGATGAACTCCTTTCGCACAAGGCCGGGTCTTTCAGAAAACGGCCTCATAACCACGACTCTACCCTCGTCAAACTTTTCTGCGTTTCTCAGCAGCGCCCTCATCGTCTGGCGGCACCCTTTCCCTCTCTCCCCGGTGCCAAGCCCCACGCGCTTCGCTCTTGCTCTTCCCTTCTACCCCTTTCTGTCCAGAGAATCTCCTTTCTACCTGGATCAGTGGGGTGCCACTCCCTGGAAACTGGAATGAGCAGCCACCTCCCAGCCCATCCCTGGCTCCTGCAGCGCGTCGCTTTAACATCTTTTGAGAGCTGGTGGTTCCTGCGTGTGTCCGAGTCCCCAGCCCATACTGGGTGCGGGCGGTCTGGCTTCCACCCTGTATCCCCCGACACCATAGGAAGTCTGTACTAAATAAGGGTCCCGAAGGGCTCGTCCCCAGGCTCCAGCCTCCCAGCCTAAGGCTCGCTCCACCGCACCAGGGACCTCCTCCTCTGGAGCAGTGTCCCCGCGCTCGTCGCGTCCGGTGCGCCCCGCCGAGTGCCCTCGCTCCCCAACGGTGCAGAGGTGCCGGGGCAAGCCAGGAGCTTGACAAGAAGCGAGCAAGGCAATCATTTTCGCCGCAGCGCTCCCGGCCACGTGACACGGGCCCGCGCCGGGGAGCAAGCTGCATCACGTGACGGTGGGACCGGGAGCCTTTCTCACGTGACGGAGGCGCGCGCGCGCAGACCAATGAGGCGGCGGGGGCGGGGCCGGCGGGGTGGCGGCGGGAAGGACGCCCGGGCTTCCGCCGGGGCCCGGGTGCAGCGATCCCGGCTGGTCGGGGGTGCTCCGCGGGCGGGCCTGCAGGCTCAGCCCGGTGCGGTGCAGGGGCAGCATGAGGTGTCTGGTGACGGGCGGCAACGTGAAGGGTGAGTCCGGGTGGCGGGGACACGTGGGACAGGCCTAGATGCCTAGCTAACCCTTCTCTCCTCTCCTCCCGCAGTGCTCGGCAAGGCGGTCCACTCCTTATCCCGCATCGGGGACGAGCTTTACCTGGAGCCCCTGAAGGATGGGGTGAGGGACTGGGGCGTGGGGTGGGGGTCCTGCCTCCCTGGGCAGGGCGGCCGCGGGCGGGTTTGTCTGCTGTTTTCTCAGTTTCGGCCCCGTTGCTGGAGCTCTGCTTGGGCTCTGTCAACCTCCCAGCCTGGTATGTGAGCTGAGAGCAGCTGCCCTTCCTGGACGGCCCGGTGAAGGGTTGGGGGTGACTTCGCCTTAGAGATAAGCAGGGAGAAAGGCAGAGTGTGGGGAGACGGCGCTGAAGGGGACCTGCCCTGGGAGGTGAGAGCAGGGTTGAGACAGGGTCAGGGAAGGCTTCCCAAGAAAGGACCGACTGAGACTGTCCTTGAAGGAGAGGGAAGATGTAACAGGTGATGGTGAAGGTAGAAGGTCCCTGGGTGGTGCAAATGGTTTGCACTTGAGGAGCTCTGGTGGCGCAATGCGTAAGACCTGGGCTGCTAATCAAAAGGTCGGCAGTTGGAATCCACCAGCTGCTCCCTGGAAACCCTATAGGGCAGTTCTACTCTGTCCTGTAGGGTCGCTATGAGTCGGAATCGACTTGATGGCACATAACCACAATCTAAAGGTTGGCATTCGGACCAAGGAAGAAAGGCTGGCAATCTGCCTCTGTAAAGATTACAGCCAAGAAAACCGTATGGCACAGTTCTGCACTGTAACACGTGGGGTTGCCATGACTCCACAGCAGTAGGTTTGGTTGGTTTGTGGGGAGGTGGAGGACATCAGGGCAGGTGTGTGAGCAGAAGCAGGCCAGGGGGCCAGCCTGTTGCTGCCCCTGACTGTGTCCCCTGTCCCCCTCTCCCTGCTTCACCTGGCCCAGCTTTCCCTCCGGACTGTGAACTCTTCCCGCTCAGCCTACGCCTGCTTCCTCTTCGCCCCGCTCTTCTTCCAGCAGTACCAGGCGGCCACCCCCGACCAGGAACCAGTGCGCTGTAAGATCCTGATGAAGGTGAGGCCCCTCTTGGCAGGAACCCCCACCCGCAGGGCCTCTGCTCCAGGCACTCAGTAGATGCTAACAGGGTAGAGAGAGGGGCTCAGGAAGGACCTCCTTCAAGGGTAGTGGGAGCGTATGAGGCAGCAGCTGACTGCTGGGGAACTGGAGTGAGGCTTCAGGGTAGGTCCGTTCCAGACAGGGCGAACAGCAGGAACCAAGGCCTGGAAGCGTGCGAATGTTGGTGCATCGTGGCGGTCCCTGTCCTGGTTGATGGGCTGGGCTGGGGCGCGGGAGCTGGCGGGCGGGAGGTGCAGCACTGGCTTATGTTTACCGCTCAGTCGTTCCTGTCGGTCTTCCGCTCGCTGGCACTGCTGGAGAAGACAGTGGAGAAGTGCTACATCTCCCTGAACGGCAGGAGTAGCCGCCTAGTGGTTCAGCTGCACTGCAAGTACGGTGAGTGGGCGACCCCCGCCAGGGGGCCTTGGGCCGCAGGGTGGGGCGGGTGGTTGAGAGGCCTCCTGAGACCCTGTCTGCCCACACAGGGGTGAGGAAGATTCACAACCTGTCCTTCCAGGACTGCGAGTCCCTGCAGGCCATCTTTGACCCAGCTTCATGCCCCCACGTGCTCCGTGCTCCGGCCAGGTGAGCATGCCCCCTCCCCCTTGCCTAGAGCGCAGCCCACCATCTTGCTTCTTTCTTTGAGAGGTATTTTCTCGATTTCTCTAAAAGGTTTCTGTGGCCCGTTTGCTCTCAAGCCCTTGTCTGACTCTTCAAGGCAGAGGCTGAGCAAAGGGGGTGCATGGGTGTCCCTTTCTCCATTTCCTTACTGTCTCTAAAACCCTGTATTCTCTACCCCTTGGCTGATTTGGCTCTCTGGGCCCCTGAGACCTAGCCTGATTTCTAAGGGGCACTTCCTCTGGCCTGCTCAGCTGAAGGGCCACCCCTAACCTTGGTGGCTCGGTTTCAGGGCCTGGTCATACTTTGGGGGTGTTCCCCACTTGAGGGTGGGCTTTGACTGTCACCTGCCCTAGTGCTGGCTCATGAGTCCCCAGGCCCAGGCAGGAGGCAGGGCAGGAAGGTTGTGGTCCAGGAGGGTGGAGCGTTCTGGGCAGTCAGGCACCGAGGTCATTGCGGGCTGAGGGAGGTGGGGATGCCAGGGAAGGCAGGGGTCCCTGCAAGTGCCAGCTCAGAGAGGAGTGGCCCCCGGGCACTGCTTGCATCCAGGTGGCTGAGGTCCCTTTCATTTCTCTTGGTAGCCTTAGGACATGGTGACTTGAAGGTCCCTTTGGGTCTGAGAGTCTGTTTCTGAGTTCTGTTGGGAGAGCCCCGCTCAGGACTCCTTTGGATGGAGAAAAGGGGAAGGCTATTCCTTTTGGCCTGAGTTTTGTGGCAATTTAAATCTCTCCTTTTAAGAAACATTGGTTTGTCTTATGGACAGTTTTAAACACATACAAAGGTAGACTAGTACGCTGACCCTGGTACCATCACTCCCAGCTCCTGTCTCCAGTTATTTTGAGGCAAATTCTAGCTGTTATTTCATCTGCAAATATTTATCATATGTATTACTCAAAGATGAGGAGTTAGGGAAGGGCTCTTTTTGAAGGCCGGTTGGTAGGGATGGCATGGGTGTGGCTTCCCACCTCTGGGCCCCATTCTTCCTTCCCCTCAGGAGAACTCTCCCCCACCCCTGCATGCTGGGTGCTGCCTGCCCTGTGTGGGCCCTTGTCTGCCCCTCCCTTGTCCTTGCAGTGGACTTGGCGCTGTGACAGGGAGGGAGCAGGCCTGCTCATCCTGCCCTCTCCTTCCTGGGGCTCCCAGCCTGGCCCAGGTGTACTTCTCTGTGGATGGTAGTGTGTATGCGTACGGGGACGTGCACACGCGCTACCCTGCCTCTGGGCCTCGAGTGAGGCTGCCAGGCGGGCCTGCCTGGCCCAGGGTAATGCTGCCCCTCCTCACAGAGTCCTGGGGGAGGCTGTTATGCCATTCGCCCCTGCGCTGGCTGAAGTAACGCTGGGTGTTAGCCATGGCCGCAGGGTCACCCTGCGAAGCTACCAGGAAGAGGAGGCAGGTAAGGGAGCCGGCCTGCGACGGACACATCCTCGGATGGAAGCAGAGCTGGGCGGGCAAGGGCTGGGGCCAGGGCCCAGATTCCTCCTGTTCCTGCCCCACAGACAGCACCGTCAGAGCCATGGTGACGGAAATGAGCATTGGGGAGGAAGACTTCCAGCAGCTGCAGGCCCAGGAAGGGGTGGCCGTCACTTTCTGCCTCAAGGAATTCCGGGTAGGTGTCTCTGACTTACGCGCGGCGTCCCGGCCTCCCTGCCCAGCCCAGGACCTGACCCTCCCTCTTCCCTCCCAGGGGCTCCTCAGCTTTGCAGAGTCAGCAAATCTGTCTCTCAGCATTCACTTTGACGCTCCAGGCAGGTAATTCCTACTTCTGGACAGGGGAGGGAGGGTTCCTGGAATGCCAGGGGCCTACAGGCTCTGACCGTCCTCGGGCCGGTCCCCTGCCCAGGCCGGCTATCTTCACTATTGAGGACTCCCTGCTCGATGGCCACTTTGTCTTGGCCACACTGTCAGAACCAGACCTGCAATCCCAGGACCTGGGCTCCCAGCAGCCCCGCCGGCCAGAGCCTCCACTCCAGGCTAACAGGTGAGGGGGCCCGCCACCCTCACCTTCTTCACCCCTGCACTGTGCACCCTGGCCTGGCTGAGCCTTCAGTCACCAGCCCTGCCCCTCTCCCCCGCATACTTCCCGTAAGGCCCCACGGAGCTCCCAGCTTCCAGCCCTGCAGGCTCCTCACGGTCAGCTGTGCTCAGAGACCCCTCCCACCCAGGGAAGGTCCCCAAGGCCCGGCTGCTTCCTTCTTCGGTTGAGGCCTCCCCTTGAACCTCCTCCCAGGCCGAGGAGGGAGCTGGCTGCTGGGAGGCAGGGCTCCGCCTGGGGTGGGGAGGCAGGTGGCTGGACTGGCAGGTGGGCTGGGAGGCCAGGCCCAGTGCAGCCGAAGCAGAGGAAGTCTGGCCTGGCCCCCTGCCCAGCATGTCCCTGGGCCCCAGCCTGCTCCAGCTCTGTCCCCTGGGAAAGGGGTGGGGGCGGGCTTGGGCCCCCGGGTGACCCAGCTAACAAGGCTTGCTGCTCCCCTCCCCCAGCTGGGCCAGACTGGCCCCAGACGGCCTTTCCCCAGGCCCCTACCTGAACTCTGATCAAACAGATTCCAGGCCCACTCCCTCCAGGAAGCCACCACTTAACCCCAGCTTCCTCTCCCTCTGAATGAATCAGGAAGTCATAAAACCAACAGAGATCACCAGAGCCCAGGGTCGTCCCCGGCCCCGCAGCCCCTCCGAGCCTCAAGGTGGGGCCCTGCCTGTGTAGCTCTTCTCTTCCTGCTTCTCGGTGACGCCCCGTCTCTGCCTGTAGCGCGCCCCACCTGGACGACTTCACCAACGATGACATCGACTCTTACATGATTGCTATGGAAACCACCGCGGCCAGTGAAGACTTTCGGGCACTGCCCTCCCTCTCATCGGGCCCCCAGCCCCCCTGCAGCCCTGACCCAAACTCAGAGGAGGATGAGGCTGAGCCTAGCACAGTGCCTGGAACCCCCCCAACAAAGAAGGTAGAGGAGCGGAAGGAAGGAATGCGAGGGTGGAGAGGGAGCAGCTTCCAGAACTCACTGGGGCTTTCTCTGTTCTTCCAGTTCCGCTCGCTGTTCTTTGGCTCCATCCTGGCCCCCGTTCACTCCCCCCAGGGCCCCAGCCCTGTGCTGGCTGAAGACAGTGAGGGTGAGGGCTGAGCTGGGACGAGGCTGCGTCCAGAGGCCCTGGACTAGATGAAGCATGGCCTCCCCCTCCCTCAGCCCACTGGCTGGGCCACCTGGAGGGCCACCGAGAAGGGTCCAGGCCCAGGTGACGGTGGTGACAGGCTGTGCTGGGGCCATACCTGCTGTCCACTATCAACTGTGACTGGCCTGGGTCCTGTTCTCTCCCCCACCCCAGCCAATCACGTCTCCTCCCAGGGCTGGTGCTGAGGTCCCGCATCTCAGTCACCACAGGCCTCAGGCCGACTCCACTATCTCGCCAGGGCTGGAGGCAGCCTCCTCAGACCCACCTTCATGAAGAGTCCCTGTGGGCCTACTGGCCCTGGGACCCCCGCCGCTGCCGATCGCCTGGGCACTGGCAGCCCCTGTGGTCCGCACTGACTGCTCTTCTTGGTTTCCCAGTACTCTCGGGCCCTGGCTTGAAATTCCAACCAGCTCCATGGGGCTGCGTGTGTGGCCGGGGCCTGGTGCCCAACGAGGGTTCCTTCCCAGTGGCTCTGGGCCAAAGGGCTGCCAGACCCAGTGCTGGAACAAGGGAGACAGAGGCCGTGGCAAGAATCCAGCTTTGACCTTTATTCAAGAGACCAGACGGGTTACCCCAGGTTCCGGCTGCCAGCCCCGATGCCCAGCACGGCTGGAGACCCACAACCTGGCCTGCTTTTGCCCTGAGCTGCAGCCTTAGCCCCAGGATCCGGCTCGCAACCCCTGCGGGTGCAGGCGAGAGGGAAGCCTGGGGATTGGACACTGCTATTGATTCATTAAAAAAGGGAAACAGACCAAGGCTCCGTGTTCCTGTGACGGGCGGGCCCGAGAGGCTGGCCTGGCCCCCCATGGCAGCGCAACTTCTGTATAATCAATCCAACATCAGGGGGAAGAGAGGTGGGCACAGGGAGGCTATTTCTTGGCTTTGGCAGAATTGCGGGGTGGGGTGATAGGCCGGCCTCCAGGATTGAGGCCACTGAACTGCCCGTATTTCCCCTTGTTCTTGTCAGCGGGCTTGAGGATCTATAAGAGACAAACCAGTCAGACTCTGGGAGCTGGGCCATAGGGCCCAGTGCTCACCCCCACACCCACCTGGAAGGAGCACATGAGAGCCCATCGCTCCCCCTGCCCACCTGGAAGGAGCACATGAGAGTCTCGTCCACGCTCATCATGGCACCAGCGTTGTCAAACTCGCCGCAGTAGTTGGGAGCTGAGAAAAGTGTCACCAGCTGCCGCTTGGCAAAGAACTCGTAGCCATCTTCTACCACCTGGGCAAGGACGGGAACAATGAGCTCGGTGCCCAGCTGCCCTGTCTCTCCCTGCCCCGTGGACCCAGCGCTGCGTGCCCACCTGGTGCGCCCGGCAGATGAGGTCCAAGTCGTGTTTGTGCAGGAACTTGGCCACCACCTCAGCCCCAAAGGTAAAGGAGACGCCGCGGTCATTCTCGCCCCAGCCCTGCACGTCCTTGTCGGGGTCAGACCACAGCAGATCGCACAGCAGGCCCTGGTCAGGCACATCTGTGGGCCGCATGATGCGCCGGATCTGCTCCATGGATTGCAGGTCTGGGGACAGGCCTGGGGGACACAGGCGGGTTGGTGCCTCAAACAAGGAGCCCGCCTCCAGGCAGTTTCACCAACCAGCCTCACCCTCCCCACCACCACAGGCTGGGCCCAGGCAGGCCTCATCCGCCCCTCGGCGTTTTCCAATTGCTGAGCAGAGAGGCAGACAAGCAGGAAGTCCCTGCCCTCAAGGAATGCCCACAGGTCTCTGGAAAAAGGAGATAAGCGAATTCCACCACAGTGCAGCCTAACGGGGGTATGAGGGGACTTCCCGGAAGAAGTGGCATCTAAGATGGGACCCAAGCTGTTCCAGGGCGACAGGGAACCCGCCCTCCAGCGAGCCCTGGCAGTGCGGCTGGCTCTGCCTTCCCAGGCATTCATTCCCTCAGTAGCACACCACAGGCATAAGGAGGCGCTCGGCCAGCACCCAGGCCCTCACCTCCATGGCAACAGAAGATCTTCTCGTCCACAATGGCCGCGATGGGCAAGCAGTTGAAGCAGTCAGTGAAGGTTTTCCACAGTTTGATGTTGTAGCGTCTCTTGCCTGCTTGGAGGAAAGGGCCGGCTCTGAGAAACTGTCTGCAACCGCCCCCCCCCACCCCCGACCAGCCTGGGTCTCTAGGCCCCCCAGGGCACTGTGTGGGCCATCCAGAACCAGCTGGGAGAAGAGAGTGAAAGGCAAGGGGAGCTCACATCCCCGCTCCCGCCCTGCGCTGCCCACCGCCCTTCCAGGACAGAGTTCTAAAGCAGCAGAGTCCACAGGAACCCCAGAGTTCCAATCTAGAACCTCAGGGTTGGTACATCCCCCCCCGACACACACCCCACCCCGACCCCACAAGCAGGGCCAGGCAAGACCTGCTCTGGTTTAGCTCAGCTTCTGGCCAGCAGAGTCCAGGCCAGTTAGGTGTCCTAAGTGCTTAAGTAATGGGATGCCCTGGAGGTGGAGGTGTCACCAGGCAGAACCTCCAGGAAAAACATTAAGAATATAAGCCGCCAGTAACCATTCACCAAATCCCTCCTGAGCATGTCCAGTCCAGGGAGGCTGGGCCAGGCAGACATGCACTGAACCAGGCCCTGCCTTCACAGAGCTCAGTCTAGCAGCAATCTGTCAGGCACTGATACGGCTAATGCCAAGCCGATATGAGGGTCCCACTGAGCAGAGGGGAGGGCACTTGAGTACCTGGGCAGCACCCGGATCCTGGACCACTCACACTCATCATAGAAGCCGTAGATGCGGTTGATGCTGGCACACTCATGGTTCCCACGGAGCAGGAAGAAGTTCTCGGGGTATTTGATCTTATAGGCCAGTAGCAGGCAGATGGTCTCCAGGGACTGCTTACCCCGGTCCACGTAGTCCCCCAAGAAGAGGTAGTTGCTCTCTGGAGGGAAGCCGCCGTACTCAAACAGTCGCAGAAGGTCGTAGTACTGGCCGTGGATGTCACCTGTGACCCGGGAAATCGGGTCAGTGCCAGGTTCAGGGTTTGGACGTGAACCAGAGTCAGGGTTGGGCTACAGGGAGGAGGGACCCAGAAACTTGAGGAGCCTCTGCCACTTTCAGGGGGCTCACCACATATCTTGAGGGGCGCCTCCAGCTCCAGAAGAATGGGCTGGCTCAGAAAGATCTCCCGGGACTTGAGGCACAGACCACGGATCTCGTTCTCTGTCAGCTGAACATTCTTCCCAGGCCGCGAGCCTTGCACTGGGGGAGGAAAGGGTGTCTGTCAGATCTCGGGCCCTCAGGCAGGCGGGTGGGCCACACAGGCGGCCCCATGGTACCCCTCCTCGCCCAGGGACAGGTGTTGCTCTGTATCTCCCGGGACCTCCGCCTCAAGCTCCCCAAGACAGAACCCTACTACTCTCAGGGCCTTGTACGTGGGGTTGCTGTGCGCCAGGCCCGCCACCCAACACCTCAGAGCGCAGGACCCCACCCCAGTCTAGGCGTCTCAAGTCCCTCCCGCACCCGAGACCCCCCGCCCTGGAGAGGGCCCCGGACACCCCAGGCGCGCCCGTGAGTTGGGGAGCGGCGGTGGGCCGGGACCTAGGGGCCGTCCCCGCCCAGGCTACGCTGGCCCCGGGAGGGGCAGGCTCGCCCGCGCGCGACTTCCGGGCAGGGTGCCAGGGCACCGCGGGCGCGACCCCGCCAGGCCTCGACCCACCTTCCAGAAGGCGCCCGATGATAGAATCCAAGTTGAGCTTCTCGGTGTCGGACATGGCGGCGCCGCCGGTCCGACCCTGTAGCTCCGGGCCCGCTCCTGCCGCCCGCCCTCCTGCTGCCTCCTTCCGGCCTGGCGCTCTTTCCGCTCGCCTGGCCCG